TTTTTTTTTTTAGAGTGTGAACAATTAATTTTGCACCTTCAAAATGACACCTGAGTAGTAGAGAATAGAATGATAGCCAAGACAGGGACAATAAGGCCAGTGAGGAGGGCTTGGAAATAAGGGTACAGCAAGGATACAGAAAAGAGCAAATATTGTGTGAATAATGAAGAAATCTCACTGAGGGTTCCCATAATCAAGATGGAGTATTATAATTTAGTGACATAAATAAAAGTCCCTCTTTGTATGTGTCAGAACTCTATAGAGAAAACATGAAATCTTTCCCATATTTCCTAAAATCATTCTCCCTAATTTAAGAATATGAAGTATATGGCAGAAAAAAATGGGGGAAAGAAATAGTTCAAAATAAATACATTGGTCACATGTTCAAATATTGATATCTTCATACTTCGTAGAAATCGAAGAAATTAAAATTTTGTTTTTGTTTTGCTCATCTATATAATGAATACTTTAAAAATTACTATAGGGCAATTTAGCAAATAAACTCACTTAATACTAGGTTAAAAACAAGCTGGACAGTTTGGGAAAGCAATTTGACAATAGTATTTGTGAGGCCTGCACAATAGTCAATAGTTTCCCTGGGAGCCTATCCTAAGATTGAGCGGAAAAAGAATATTGACACATATGTCTGTGCCACTTGGTATAGTGAGAAAACTGAAACTAGCCTTTTCACTACTCTGGGAAGTGTAGGTTAAAGTAACCACAGACATGGACACAAATTATTGTAACTTGTGATCATAAATATTTTTAAGCAAACATGCATTGAAAAAACTAGAAGCAGAATGAAAATTACGATGTTGATCAAGTTTGCATTTAAGTAATTTTCTTCATTTGTATAGCCTAGATTTTATATTAACAAATTTTTAAATGTAAGCAATAGTTAATTACCAAAAATAAAAGTGTTCATATTAGTTATACCTGTATCCTATGTTCTTTTCCCCTCCCCCACTTCTCTTGTGAACTCTCCCAATGTCCCTCTTGGAGTCTTTGAAAACCTGAGCTCTGAGGAGAGGGTAGTCAGAGACCTGGGGCCAGCCAAGAGCCCCAGTAGGAGAGTAGAAATAAGTCTATAATTTAGTCCTGGGAGGCAGAGCGGGATAAGAAGTGAACACTGCTCCCAAAGAGGAGTAACTGGAGATCCAGGGGGAAAGGAACAGATTTCTCTGTGCAACCTCTGGGGACATAACTGGCTATTTTCAGCATCTGGATAAAGAGGGGGACACAAGAGAAAATAGTGACGAGATCAGGGCCATGGAATCCCTTGACTGAACTAAATTTGTCTAAGCATTCAGACAAGAGGTGATCACTGTAAGAAACAAAGCTTAAAGCTAATTCTGTGGACAGCACCCCAATGGGTAAGTATATTCCAGAGATGGGACCAAAGTCATCGGAAACACGCTCTAATTTCGAGAAACTATATTTGGTTTTTGGTCCATCCAGGGCTTATCTTCACAGTTCTAGTCAAAAGTAGAGGAAATAAGTTGAGCATCCTTTGGTCTGGGCTATGAATCAAAGAAGAGGAGAAACCCCAAGGCTTCCCAAGGCTTGATTGCCGAGCACACTCCATAACCCAAGAGGAAAGATTGGACTGTTCCAGCCCGATTTGGCCTCTTGCCTTCTGCTCCAGTCACGCAATTTTCTCTCCTGAGCTGATCCTTACACCATCAACAGGTCTCTTCAATTGATTATATCCATGTTTAAAATGCTATTCACACAGCTGGGAAAGAAGAATATGGAGTTACCAAGGTCATATGGAAGTAACACTGCATGTGTTCTATGGAAGGAGCAGAGAGGTGAGGAGTCAGTAAAGAAAGGAATACAATGCCTATTCCAGCGGCCAGGTACCCAACCTTTGACCTTCTGTGTGCATGCATACACACATTTTTATAAACAGTTGATTTACTACATGAAGCATCACTAACATAGCTAGAGATGTACCCTTCATTTCACAGACGGAGGACCTGAATAGAAAACAGAGACAGAGAGGTTACACTTCCTAAGTCACACAGACAGAAACAGCAAAGTTAATACTTGAACTTCAGTGGGTCTTGCTTCTAATCCATATTTATTTCACCACAACAAAACATCTCTCAGGAGCCTGACCCACCATCAGAATACCTCTTCCAGGACTTGCAGGCACGTCAGTAGTGTCCAGGTAAGAATGCCCTTAAGTAAGATGACACAGAAAATATTTCTCTGGAATGTTCTATTCCAGAAACTTAAAGTAACATAACCTAGGTGCCTCAACCTAGTAAAAACCACCACTTAAGATGCCAATTATCAACTTGGTGGCTATATTTTTATACACATGTGCACATTCTTTGTCCCAGACTAAAACAATTTTATTGATTAAACTGGGTCTCACACAAATCAAAGTTAGAAATCTAGGCTTAAGTCTATCCTATGAACACTGATTCATTTGTGATGAGGAGCTACTATTTTGAGCTACCTGGACATTGAGTAATTAGGCCCCTTTCTGCTTTAGAATGGTGGTTCATCACAATATTTTTAGAGAACACTTCAGACATTCACCTTCTTGTGAGATAAAATTGTATATTGACTAGTGTTCCCCTTAAATCACTGTTCCATCTCTACAATTCCTGGACTTTTGGGGACCCTGCAAAGATGTTCCATGAAACAAAGAGACACAGGAAACTATTCCAATTAGCAGCATGTAAATTTCTTGTCTACTTACCATAATGAAGAGTAGAATTCAGGGAAAGGAAACTGTTGCCATGTGCCAAAAGCCTCACATTTATTTTATTTGTTCTTTATATTAATACTTACCCTTCACAGTTGATATTCTCCCCATTTCTCACATGAAAAGGGCTGAGACTTTAAGAGGTTAGGCAATTTGCCCAAACACAGAGTGAGATGAAGATCTGCAGTGGGAAAAGTTGTTTGGTAGAGGACAAAGCTGGTGCCCAGAGCAAGTCCTGTGGTGCTGCCTCAAAGGACCTCTTTCCTTTTCCTATCTTATCCTCTAGATTCACAGAAACTTCCATTTGACCCCTGAGAAAGTGACTTCACACACATTATCACTTATTGGCATGTTGAAGTACCCAATTCACAGAATTGCTGAAGTCAGTAAGAGTTAATGTAAAAGAACACTTGTGAACCATTTTAAAGTTCACAAAACTTCCTTTTTTCAACACCCAGTCAAAGCCTGAGCCAGAAGTAAGAAAACTTGTAAACTTAAAATTAACTGTGTGTGGGAGCATGAATTAGGAATCCCTGAAGTTACATAGGTGCATTTCTTATGCTTATTTGATACAAAAATGTAATTGCAACTTATATTTTACACAGGAATATTTCAAATGTAAATGGGCTATTTGAGACAACTGGGGAGAATTCACTGACTACTTAGCCACCCACTCTGGTATAGAACAGAAATACCAAATAAGGCTACAAAAGAGGAGGGGAGTGTTGGGATGGGCCTACAAGGATGGGGGGAATTTGCCTGGGTAAAAATCAAGAAGGTGGTGAAACCTCTCAACAAAACATGGCTGTGTGGAAAAAAAAATCACATGGTGCATGTGGGGAGTCTGAAACTTGACTCTGCTGAGAATTGGACAAGAAACATGAGGACAGCAAGACCAAGACAGGGAAGGACCCAAATTAGACCCTGGGCTCTCAGGTTCTAGACCCTGAAGATGCAAAGCAATGGAGCCATTGCTAGATTCTTAGTCAGAGGCAAAAGAGCAGGAGGTGGACAAGGATTTTACAAATGATGGCCAGTGTTTTAGTGCTGATCCTCCCTGACTCTTCAAAGACTAGAAAACAGTCAATAGGACCCTTTTACTGATCACTTCTTAGTCTGTCAGTCCATTTTTTTAAATCACTATCATCAGATAATGGGCAAAACATCCAGTGAGGTTTTCTCATAAAAATATGTGCCTCTTTTATCTAAAATTGTATGCAATGTCAGATTCTCAGAAAGTTTAATGGGGTTTGTCCTTAGAGTAAACCTTTCTTAAGAAACTTTATTCATTTTTTAAAACATGAAATCTGGGCAACCTTAAATGAGCGAACTTTTTCTTTGAGAAATTGGGTCCTGTGCCAAATAATCTTTGAAGAAGTCAATTAGATTTGACAATCGGACAAAACCAGTGTTAAACCATTAAAGGGAATTGTACCTCACTGATATGTTTTTCTTACTAAATTGTCCCATTGTGTTTTTGATTGGGTTTTTGATAACTTATAAGATTTTTAAAGCTCTTGGCCATTTTTAAAACACAGAATATTGACATATAAAAAAGGAATAAGGTTAAAAGTGCGTTTTTACATCAAGATGTTTTTGTACATGACACACATATATTTTAATGAAATTATATTATAATCTGCCTCTTGCCATCACTCACTTAACTGAAATAAGATGTAAACATTTTACCAGGTAAATACATAGCTCTAAAAATGCTATAAACATAATTTTAATTCATTGAATGGATGTACTAGAATTTAAAAAATTCTTTGAATACATTTCTTTATTATAAAATCAGCGCTTGCAAATAGCTACTCAATGTTTATTATTGACGGTGTTAACATTACTATTTATGAAGTGAAAAGAGAAAGCACTAGGCTAAACATGTTACATGGACTTACGTTTAATCATTGCATGTAGAACTTTTCTGTATTTCCCATTTCCTTTAGAAAATGTTTACCAAAGCAAAACTACTAGGCAAAGGGGATGAGCAATTTTGAGACTTTCTACAATAGAGCAGGGCAATTTAGCAGTAGGAATCATAGAATGCTTGTTTCTACATTTACCTGTGGGTGTTTTCATGCAGAGTTTCTTTTATATCATATGTAATATATCAATTTTCAAGTAGGCATTCAGAATTTTCCTTTATTATAGGTTCCACCAGTTGCCCAGGATGGAAATAAGAGCCAGTAGTCTACAGTTTTCAGAGGCAATATAACTCATAGAAGTAAAAATCTAAATCTAAGAACTCCTGTCCCCTGGATACTCCCCATCCTGAAATATGTTCATGTCTAATAATGCGTGCTTGGTGCCTACTTCTTTCTGGCTTACTGGCATCCCAGAGCTAGAGTCCCTGCACGTTTGGCTCTCCATTCCCTTCAGCTCTATGTACCTGCTGGCTGTGGTGGGAAATGTCACCATCCTGGCAGTGGTAAAGGTAGAACGCAGTCTGCACCAGCCCATGTACTTCTTCCTGTGCATGTTGGCTGTCATTGACTTGGTCCTGTCAACCTCTACCATGCCCAAACTGCTGGGCATCTTCTGGTTCGGTGCCCACAACATTGGCCTGGATGCCTGCTTGGCCCAGATGTTCTTCATCCACTGCTTCGCCACTGTTGAGTCAGGCATCTTCCTTGCTATGGCTTTTGATCGCTATGTGGCCATCTGTAACCCACTACACCATACCTCAGTGCTCACTCACACAGTGGTGGGTCGTTTGGGCCTGGTTGCCTTCCTCCGTGGAGTACTCTACATTGGACCCCTGCCCCTGATGATTCGCCTGAGACTGTCCCTTTACCGGACCCAAATCATTGCCCACTCCTACTGTGAGCACATGGCCGTGGTCACCTTGGCATGTGGTGACACAACAGTCAACGATTTATATGGAATGGGAATTGGTTTCCTCGTATTGATCCTGGATTCATTAGCCATCACTGCCTCCTATGTGATGATTTTCAGGGCGGTAATAGGGCTGGCTAGCCCTGAGGCCAGGCTTAAAACCCTAGGGACATGCAGTTCTCACCTTTGTGCTATCCTTGTCTTCTATATCCCTATTGCTGTCTCCTCTCTCACTCACCGCTTTGGTCATGTGCCTCCCCATATTCACATCCTTTTGGCCAACTTTTACCTCCTTATTCCACCCATTCTCAACCCAGTTGTCTATGCTATCCGCACCAAACAGATTCGAGAAAGACTTCTCCACATTCTTAAGGCAGCAGCTCAACCCAAGTGACCGTTCTGCATCTATGGGACATACAGATATTTAGGGATGACAGGAAAAGGCTGGGGAAACCCATGCAATAGGACCCATGCAACTGGACCTTACCTGAGTTGTGGAAATAAGTGTCTATGAGAATTACTGGAATATGTTCTATTTGACCATGTATGTATTTTCTGAAAGTGGAGAGGGGAATATCTGAAAATGAAAAGGAGAAATCAAAAAAAAAAAAGAAAAGGAGAAATCAGGGCACGAGTTTTTGTACTACAAATCCCTTTTCCTTTTGACATCATAAAATTAAGTACAATAGATAGAAACAACCCTACTTCTGTGGTCTGTATATTTATATCTTTTTTGGTAAAGGATTTCTAGTTTTTCTTTTGAGAGTGTTTTGTACATTTTCTAGAAGGTAAAATTATACTCTAACACCTTTTTGAAGATAGTTTACAAATTATGTTAGTTAACGTCTAGAAAAATTCAACAGTGTTGGCAAACTTTTCTGATTCTGTTGGCTTCCCACAGAAAAGGCTTTTTGTTGAGGATGGAGACAATCTGAATGTGAAAAATCTTAATCTAATGGGACCTTACTGCCCACAGGAGTTAAAGCCAGCTCATTCCCCCATTTAAATAGATAGATGGAAATGTAATATCCTACATCTCCTCCTAATAACTGTTAACTGGGAGCAGGAAGGAGGAGACAGAGAAGTACATTAGGAGATTTCATTTTGGAGGCTCTGAAATGGGATACATGAAGGATGGTAGCCACACTGAAATAATAAAATGACATAGAGAGAAGGTGACAGTAGGATTATTGACATGAAAGAGGCTGGGCAGAGAATGGAGTAAAGGTGATGAGAATAAATAGAGACCCAGTGGTAGATGCAAACCTTGAAATAACTTCAGATCTCTCTTTGGAGAATTCTTGCTTCATATTTTGTTTTAACCCTTTTTATATTAATCATAGATTTTCCATAATGAAATTATTTCAGGCTGGAAACCTACAGAAGTTCTGTAGTAATGCATTAAAGATAGAATAAAGCAATCACTCCCAATTGTAGTGATTCAGAATTATGATATGTCCATTTTAGTTCTAAAATATTTCAGATTTTAAAATGTTCATTTTACCTCAGTGTAGAAACCATTACAAAATCTGAGAAAGCTAAGGTGACTTACCTTAGGTTAAAAATAAATCATCTTAGTATTTTGAAAGTATAATTTAAAAGAAGCCAGAGCTAAAATTCAAGCCTCATATTCAAAAACAAACAAAAAAAGAAAACTTAGGATATCACACATTTTTGTAAAGTTTAGCTTAAAATCCTAACTAGTTCAAATTTCTATCTCCTCATAATCCTAGTCCTAGACCTAAGGTTGACTGGATCATATTTATTTTTCTGCATTATTTTGGGGTGATGGGTGCTCATCCCCCCTTCTCCTTATCAAGGGCCCTGGAGTCCATTGCCAAACCCAAGTCCACTTATTGGGGAAAGGTTATGTTCTATGAACATAATTTTATGCCAAATGTAATCTACCTGCTGATTTTTTAATTGTTTTAATTAAAGTTTATTGGGGTGACAATTGTTAGTAAAGTTACATAGGTTTTAGGTGTACAATTCCATAACACATCATTTATATATCACATTGTGTGTTCACCACCCAGTGTCAGTTCTTCTGCTGCTGATTTTTATTAGAAGTTGATGAAAAGATGCTACAGAAGCCTCAGAGCTAGAAGCTTATTTTACAGCGTTATCTCCTAAACATGACCCTGGGCTTTGGAGAAAATGCAGGAAAAAATGATATTCAAATCCATCAGTGACACCAAAGCTGAGGGAAATGACAAGGAACCTTTGCATTGGAATAGCTCTTTGGCCTAATGCCTAACGTCCATTTATACCATGTAAGCAGAGCGTGTGTATGTGGGAAGCAGGTTGTGAGCTGACAGGGTCCTCACAGCCTGTGGAACAAACAGTTCAGGGAAATTTCCACCCCACTGATCCAAGATGAGAAAAGAATAGCTGAAGCCGCAGGAGCTTCTGCAAAGTGCATAACAAATGTAACCTGATTGTGCACCCTGAGAAATGCATAACAGGATGTAACTTACTAATGTCTAACCCGATAAACAGACCCCCTGCAGCTGCTTACTGCTCTCTGCAGCTGCTTGCTACTATATAAACTTTCTGCAAAAAAATAAACGTGGCCATTGCTCCTCCATCAGCAGTCAGTGGACCTCCTGATCCCAGCTTTTGTCTCTGTGTCTTTCTTTTCTAATCTCCCACCCAATCCACTTGGTAGCTTCGGTTGACAAGTGGGTCTCGTCATGTATATGGAGATCCAGGGTTTTTAATCTGGACTTCATGGCATTTAGTAGGATTAGTATTAACTATCTAGCCAAATAACCTCAGAAATCCCATAGTAAGGTGTTTCTCTCTAGATGGTTTTCTGGGTCTACTACAGACCAAGACCAAATACCAATCAGTTCTATCTTCTTCATATGATATTGAATGATTGGGGGTAAAAAAAAAAAAGAGAAAATACCACCTGTATATGTGCTCCTGCTCCATCCAGGGACAACTACACATGACAACACCCATGCCTGTCAGACTCAGGGTATGAGCTTAGTTACAGTAGAACATTTAATCCCATTGTCAACCGTACAATGGTGAAGGGCTCTTTCATGGTGAAGGGGCCATCTCAGAACAGAATGGAAGAGAATATACAGTGGTGAATACAGTATGGAGACATGACATAAGTCCAATAATTGAATCTCATTTTCAAAGCCAACATCTTGTTTCTCCTTCACACAAATATCTCTGTTCCCTTTTTGTCACCCCCGCCCCCAAGTGAGAGTAAAAGACACTGCCATCAGCCCTTTTTGAGTCTTCAAGTCTTCATGGAAAAGTGAAGATTAGAGAACAGTTGAGGAAGGACGCATTTTTATGCTCATTTGTCCAAATTCATGTGGCATAGGTAGTTAAGAACTTCAGCTCTGGAATTACAATAAAGGGCAGAGATGGATCTGAACCAATACCTGTCAGACTTTAGATCTGTTGCACGATCTAAGCCTCAGCTTCCTCTTCTTGAACATGAAAGTAATGACAGTAGCTTCTCATGGGTTTGTTATAAGGATATAATGAGATCATGAATCTAAAATGCCTGCATAGTGCTTAACACATAAAGAAAAAAACAACTTGCCTTTGAATAATAACAGTATTTTATTGTGCACTGAAAGGTCCAGGGAAGGATGATGGCAGGAAGAGTAACTGGAACAAGCTCCTGGAAAAGCCAGAGAATGTGTGCAATTGTGCCCCATTCAGGAATGTACCAGCCTCAGCTCTAGAAAACTCTGTTCTCTGTAGGAAGTCTTCGCAACATAGCCAGCTTTCTTCTGCCCTCCTTGGCTGCCCCAGTACCCACTCATGTACACCTGCAGCTTTTCAGTTAGTGACACCCAGCTAACTAATTGTGCAAAAATGTCATTGACTTCAGGGTTTTTTCTGTATCACCCACAATGGGGCTTAGAGGAAAAATAAATCAAATTGAATTATAGAAGATAGCACTTCAAACAAAATCCAATCCACTTTAATAATTCCTTAGTCCATTTCAATTTATAATTTAGTCTGGTACAGGTTAGGAAACCCTGGGGCAGGGGCTCTTAATCACCCTCTTTCTTATGTTAGGTTTAAAACTGCAGTAGTGGATGGGTGAGTTCTTATAAGAGTGCCACCATTGCAGTCACATAGGAGAGGACTGTCTCTTGCTTCCTTGTTTTTCAGCTGGCCTCTGACCCCAGATACATCTTTTGCTGTAATGATGGTGCTTCTTCACATTGTGACCTATAGGAAATGACATTCTTCTACTAGATTCTCTGGTACTGTTGATCCACTGAGATTGCAGCCACATCTCCTGGCAGGGACTGTCCACTCTGGATTTTTCTGGTGTTCATCCCTTCATCCCAGCTGCAGGATCCTGTACTAACTGACCAGAATGATCACTCTTACTGTCTCCTAGCCAACCTCTTTATCTCACTTGTTCCACAGGAGTGCTTGGCATCCGCTTCTTGAGATGTATACTCTTGAAAGCCTCAGCTTAATTAAGGAGTGAAAAGCATGGTCCCAACGAATGTCCTTCCTCCTGCCAGGCACAGAAGGTCTTTGTGCCTAACGTAATCTGAAGCAACGAGGATAAACCTGTTCTGCCAGATCAGATACCTTATAAATCTTGTCTTCTTTCTGGATCAAAGATTTTGAACTTAAAAGCCAAGAATTTTGTGTCTTGCTAGAGGGGCACAGTAGGAGGCCGTGGCGGCTCTGATATCCTTCTCTGCCTGGATTCTAAAATTGAGAATTCTAGAATTGAGTTTGAGAAATGATTCTGCAGAAGATCTAGAAATAAAAGTCTAAGAGCTGAGGAACCTATACTTCTGGGAATGTTGCCTGACCAATAATGCAAATCTCCTTTTTAGGGAACAATAGCTAATTGTTTACTTTTGTCTTCAGCAATGAAGAAAACCAACTCATTTGATTCAAATGGAACAAACACCAGCCAAGTGGAAAGTTTATTATGTTACAATTGTGAGCTGGATGAGACTCTTGGCAAGGACTCATTCTTTTCAAAGAATATTTTCTGGTCCAATCCTAATTTGTTAAAGTTGTGTGGGTATGAAAGTGATTGAGGGAGACACAATCATATAAGGGACACAAGCATCTCACCCTGTGCTGTAAGCAGATTAGATAGATATATGATATAGATAAGGAAACAAACAGATGAGTATATTTTCACTTACAGGAGCAAATGTTTTTCTCAACTTGGATTGTCCAAAATTTTTCAGAAGCATCTAATGTTGTGAGAGCATTGTACTGTGTCATCTTGGCCAAAATAGAACTCAGTTTCCCAGAACTCCTTCCCCTGTGTGGTTCCTGGGTAAGCCCCAACAGAAGACACATTTCTATGAGATTAAAAGGCAGAAGTGAAACAGCAACCATTATTTTCTAAAGGTAGGTGTAGAAAGCCAGGTGCTG